GAGAGAGAGAGAGAGAGAGAGAGAGAGAGAGAGAGAGAGAGAGAGAGAGACATGAAACAAAAATGAGACGCCATCAGCGAGTGTTGCTGTGAGCGCGGGGTCCACTTGTTATTTTAACCCAACAGAGGCAAGTGGGCAAGTGGTGAGCCCAACTGCGGTACGTCGGCAGTGCGACTGCATCGAGTTGGCAGTGCAAACCCATGCAGTCAGCGGTACGGGTCCCAGTCAATCACAGTCCAGTCAAGCAAGTACCGTGTGGGACTGTGTGCACCAGGGGCATGGGAAAGGGGCAGACCAACGAGTTACAGAAGTATAAATCAAGAGGCAGCGCCCAACCATTCATTCATTCCTGCGTAAGCCATGCGGAAGCGCTGTCTGAGCGACTTGTGCGAGGTGGTCTGCAGAGTGCCCGAAGACGAAGTGGGCTTGAAGGATATAGTTAGATGTAGCTGTAGAGGGACAGCGGCCATTGCCGCCATAGCTGATAGGCGAGTGAGTGTGTACGAGGGTGTGTGTATGCGTGTGGGATATCCAGGGTGATCCGGAGTGGAGTGAAAGCGAACAGTGGTGTTGAAGAGGGAGACGAGAGTTGGTGTGTACAGGCGTTGATGAGCCATAACTTGTTAAAGCGAGTTGGTATCTGAAATGTGTTGACGACTTCCATATCTCCAAGCTTTGAGTGGGCGTTGTGCGCCAGTGTGTCTCACCATCTGTTTGCATGAGTGCAGAGTGGAAAAGAAAGCAAGTCTGATTGCATTGGTATCGGAGCAGGTACCGGCTATCTCACGCGTTGTTGTTATCCGCGGCATGCCGAAGTGGGGCACCATAGCCGAAGTGCGCCATAGTTTGCCATCACCGAAGAAGAAGGCGGACATAGCCGTGGAGCTCGGACACGGAGAAAGGAGGCAAGAAGATGAACGAGAGAGGAGGAGGGAGAGATGAAAGAGGAGCGAAGCCATAGCTGAGGAAGAAGAAGGAGAGACGAAGAAGAAGAGGGAAGACATAGCCGGGGTGAAGGAAGAAGAGTAAGGCGAGGAAGGAGAAAGAAAGGAGGAAGAAGAAGAAGGGTGGTGAGGAAGAAGAAAGCGGCAGCCATAGCGGAGTTGGAGGTTGACCAAGGTGTTGACCGGAGTGTTGACCGAAGTTGACTTGGGCGTTGACCCGGGTGTTGACCAAGGCGTTGACCAAGGTTGATCGAAGCGATAACTGGGGTTTTGACCAGTGTTTGCCAAGGCTGTTGACTGTGACTTTGACCAAGTTGGAGTTGGTATATTGCCGCCAAGCCCTTAGCCTATCCCCTCGCCCTATGGATGTGCACTCACCCTAGAGGTTTGGAATTGTTGTCGAGTTGTGCACTTATCACCATGGTTGACACTCCCAGTGGGAAGAGCACCATGCCGTATAGTAAGGCTCAAGAGGAGCAGGCCGCCGCCATCCTCAGAGAGAGAAAAGAGAAGAAGGAACTCCTTAGACAGCCAAAGATGAAGATGATAGCCGAGGAGAAGGCGGGGAAGAAGAAGTTGGAGGAGGAGATGAAAAAATTACAACAAGAAGAGGAGGAGAGAATGAGGGTTGTGGTAGAGGAAGAGGTTGAAGAGGAGGAGGAGCAGCCCGAAGAAGAGCCCCTCAGAAGGAGAAGACTGGGGGAAGGAGAAGGAAGCAGTGGCACGAAGGAGGATAACCCGTAGGTGGAAAAAAGTATATCTGAATGGGTGGCGAATTTATCATTGGGAGAAGACGAGAAGGCGATGCTGTATATACCTCAGGAGGAGAAGGAAGCAGCAATTAGGGAGATCGAGGCGACGAGTGATCCCCTAGAATGCCAGGCCATAAAGAATGAGAAGAGGTTGGACTGGAAGTTGCGCCTGGCAAGGGAGTAGAAGAGGAGAACAAAGGAAGCCTACAGAATGGCCAGACAAGTGGAAGGTTTACAGACATGTAGACAAAGAAATAGAGGCCCAGCCTGACATTCAGGCTAAATTAGACAAGATCCTTGGGAGCATCGAGCTCCTAGGCAGGGCCTGGACCAAACATCATCAGTCTATTAGGGGCCAAGATATGGCCCTCCACTCCATCCGGTCTGGTTTCAAGGACTTCGCGCGGGATGTAATGACACATGCGGGGATAAAAGTTAGGAAGCTAAAGGACAACGCAGAGAAATTATGCGCAGGTGCCATTGAGGGCGCCAAAGTAGTGGCCGTTGCAGAGGCCGAAGCGCATCCCCGCAAAGAGCTTGTAAACTCAAGTTTGCTGACTCGTACGACGGTAAAAGGACGAGAGCTTTGATAACTGGGAGGCCAGTATCAACACGTACGTGTACTTGCAACACATTGCGCCCGAGGAACAAGTCCTCGTGGCCTTCCACGCACTACGAGACGAAGCGACCAGTTTTGATAGGTCCCTCGTGCGAGAAGCCGATTGTGAACACAATATGGTTGCATACTCTAAACTCACCCCTCTTCCCAAATTCCTCAAACTCTGAGAGAGAGGTTCGCTGACGTCACGCAAGGCGTCCGGGCCTCTGACAAACTGCAAACAATCCACTCATAATAGTGGAAGAGTGCGAGAGCACTCAACGCAGTTATGGATGACCTGGTAGCCATCCCAGACCGCGGTGTCGAGCGCATCGGTCCGACACTGCACGGGGCAGCGCGGGACCCTCCCGCTACTCTGATATTCCCGTGCCGTCACCGCTCGGTCTCGATCCTTGAACCCTTTCGACGAAAGTTGGACGCCTTAACCGCGAATGCTAAGCCCAAGTCCGGGTTTGGCTCCGCCGGACACCTAAATAAATGGACACCGCACAATGCGCGGGCCTACTGAAAACACCTCAAGGCCTCCTCCTTGTCGATGTCGTTCTCCGCTCGTACGCATAGGTCACAAATAAGCACACCAATCAGGAGACAGGATCCGTCTACTCCTAACTTAATCAGAAAAATAAAAATCTGGTCGGCGACCAACACCGACCTTCACAATCATCAATCAAAAATAAAAAGATCATGCGCGCCTTAACTCTGCGCGCCCACACACTCTCTAGTCTAGTCAACCATCCAGTCAACGTGAATCACAGACGCAGCCACGCCTAGCACGGTATACTTAGACTTTATACCAAACTTATTTTCTGTCGCTTGCAAAAACCAGGGCGGATACCCTTGTAAGGGTATTCGCACCGACAACGGGGTCATTGAGACCCATGCCAGAGCCCTTACGAGGGCACTTCTTTGAAAAGACCCAACAGGCCACCACCACGTATGATGCGTTGAGTAGAGAGGTGGTCCTGTTCGGAGCCAAATCCATGCCAGTTTCCACTTTCTGGCACAAGGATTTAGATAAGGGAAAGAAGTGGAAAGGTCGTACCATCTCAGGACAGGACAAGGCTAAGGATCACCTGATCCTTACTTAAGATGAGGGTGGTATTGACGAAGTCCCCTACAGCCAAATAGAGTGGGGGCTAGAAGAGGAAGACAGTAGTGTAGGCCAGGGGAGGACGTACGCTGCTGTCGCGGCTGGAGGGAGGCCGCAAGGGAGAGGAGGAGGCCAGGGCCAAGGGGGTCGGGCCATGGGTGGTCGAGGTCCGGGGGCACAGGGGGTTGGCAGTCAAAGGAACCGCCAAGAGGGAGGTAGGGGTCAAGGTCCCCCGCCGAATCGTTCAAGGCCCATTCGATCACCACAGCGCAGAGGTGGAGGATCACCTCAAAGGAGAGGAGGTTGGCACCCAGGTTGGCCACAAGGTCTGCCTTGGGAGGATCTGAGCTTGGACCAGAGGGTATGGCAACAACGGATGGAGCAGGGGCAGTGCATCTATTGGGGTGACCCTGCCCACATCATCAAATACTGTCCGAAGTATAGGGAAGCCCGATTCGCTGCCCATGGGTCAAAAGGCCGCCGCCGGTGGGGGTTGCAATTGCCCTTACCATTAGGCCATATGGGGAAGTGTGTGCACACCACCAGGAAACTCCCACACCGCATGAGCCTATGGCAGAGGTTGCAGGCCAGTGCCTAGTTAGCTGTCCAGAGACTGCCTGCGTTAGAGTCTCTCTAGGCACTTCCCTCACAGGTATGGCAGAGGAGTTGTCGGCCTGGGCCAAGATGAAGAAGAAGAGTAAAGGACAACTTGTGTTAGTAGATTTCGAAGTTTTTAGAAGTAGAGTAGGGGCCCTCATAGACTCAGGGGCTACCCGTAGCTATATTATCCGGAGAGCACTGAAGAAGCTAAGGCTATGCTTGAAAGTCCAAAAGTTGGAAGACCCCATAGTTAGTATCCTGGCAGACAACCGCACGATGCGTGGTGAGGATTACGTCGAAGGAGTCCAGGCGTATCTGCGCTTAGAGAAAGACGACAAGGTGGAGAAAGTTCTCCACTTTCGGACTCTCCTCGTAGAGGACGACCTCCCTTTTGATATAGTCCTAGGTATGGACCGGGGAGAAGCAGCAGGGGCCACACTCCACTTAAGAGAGCATGAGTGTATGCTCCCTTGTCCATCAGGCGAGGTCAAGACTACCCGTTTGTTCCATGTGTCAGGAGTAGATAACTCTCTTGCACATTCTCAGTGCTCCCGCGTTCGCGCGATTAGTTAAAAAGGAGCAGTTAGAAGAACAGGTCTTTGTAGCCTACGTAAGGCCTGTCACTGAGCCTACTGAAGAGAAGCCAATAAACCCAGCTATTGCCAAACTGCTGGAAGAGCTTAAAGACGTAGGAGACCCGCCGACAGGAGTGGTGCCGCGGCCGATCCAGCACCATATAGAGATATAGCTTGGCAGTGGAACTCCTAAGGGTGCGATTTACAGAATGTCCCCAAGAGAGTTAGAGGATTTGCGTAAGCAGTTAGATGAACTCCTCGAAAAGGGTTGGATTAGACCCAGTTCGTCTCCTTTCGGAGCACCCGTTTTGTTCGTCCCCAAAAAGGAGGGAGAGTTGCGTATATGTATAGATTATAGGGGTCTGAATGCTATAACAGTGAAGAATGCTGAGCCGCTGCCCAGGATAGCCGATCTTTTGGATCGGGTGCAGGGCTGTAGGTATTTTTCAAAGATAGATTTGAAGTCCGAATACCATCAGATAGAAGTTCATGCTGATGACCAGTACAAGACTGCTTTCCATACTAAATATGGGCATTATGAGTTCATCATGATGTCCTTTATGCCCTTTGGACTGACCAATGTGCCAACCATATTCCAACGCTGCATGAATGATGTGTTTAGACCTTGGTTAGATAGATTCGCCGTAGTATACATGGACGGTATTCTAGTTTTTAGTAAGACCCTCCAAGAGCATCAGGGTCATTTGAGGCAAGTCTTGGAGAAGTTAAGAGAGGCTAACTTCAAGATCAATGCGAAGAAGTGTGAGTGGGCCAAGACACAAGTCTTGTACTTGGGCCACATCTTAGATGGAGATGGAATTAAGCATGAGGATAGCAAGATAGCGGCGATTAGAGATTGGCCGACGCCCCGCACGATGACAGAATTGCAGTCGTTTCTAGGCCTAGCTAATTATTATAGGAAGGTCGTGAGGAACTTTTCTATTATCGCCGCCCTTTTTTCGCAGCTTGTTGAAGACAGAAGCGATCTGGAAGTGGGACAAAGAATGTACATTCGCTCTTAAGAAGTTGAAGCGAGTGTTGATAGAGTACCCTGTCCTCAAGGTGGCAGATCCGTCCTTGCCATTTGTCGTCACCACGGACGCAAGTCAGTATGGTATAGGCGTCGTGTTACGGCAGGACGACGGCAATGGCTATAGACCCGTAGAGTTCATGTCAGTGAGGATGCCATCAGAGAAAGTAGCTACCTCGACTTACGAGAGGGAACTCTCCGCTCTCAGGGAGGCCTTAGAGCGATAGAAACATTACCTGCTTGGGGGGCACTTCAAAGTTTATTCAGACCACGAGACTCTTAGGTGGCTGAAAACGCAGGCCAAGATGACACCTAAGCTAACTAGGTGGGCCGTTGAAATAGGCCAGTATGACTTTGAGCTCAAACCGGTCAAAGGCAAGTATAATGTAGTTGCGGATGCTCTCAGTAGGATATCAGATTACTTTGGAGCTATAGTTCACCATCTGGATATAGGGACAGACTTGCAAGAGAAAGTAAGACAGGCGTATGCGCAGGACCCTATTTATGGTGACCTCCTCAAGAAAGTTAAGAAGGCCCCAGAGACTGAACCACATTACCGCACTACAGAGGGATTACTGTTCGAGAAGACCAACGTAGTAGACCGTCTGTGCGTTCCTAATAGTGAGGAGATCCGCAGTTTGATCCTAGGGGAATGCCACGACACAGAGGGACATTTCGGTTGGCAAAAGACTCTAGCCAATCTGATGCATGGGTATACTTGGCCAGGAATGAAAGCTGACTACATAGAGTACATTCGCGGCTGCAAAGTCTGTCAAAGGAATAAGACAACTACACGTGCCCCTCTAGGTCTTCTTCGACCCTTGCCTATTCCTGATCAGCCTGGAGATTCGGTCTCCATTGACTTCATGGATGCTAGTGTTAAAAGCAGACATGGAAAGAGCCAAGTCATGGTAATAGTAGATAGATTTAGCAAATATGCAGTTTTTGTTCCCTTACCCGCAGAAGCCCGTACAGAGTTAGTCATTCAGAAGTTTTTTTACTTTTGGGTTAGTGAGCACGGGATCCCATTGTCCATAGTTAGTGACAGAGATACCTGGTTTACAAGTCAGAACT